ATCTCTGTTCCCCAGCAAATAATCATCAATAAACACTAACATTTACTGAGCATTTATTTACTAAATGCCAGGCACTATTGTTCTAAATGTCTTTTACATATTAAATAAATCCTTATAACTACCTTATCGGGTAGATTTATTGTCCCCATTTTACAGATGATGTCATTGAGACAAAGAAGTGAAGTAATTTGTTTAGCATCACACAGTAAAAAGGAAACAAAACTCGGATGTGAATCCAGGCAATCTATACTTTTGGACACCCAGCTCATCGGAGCTGGAAGTCTTCAACAGGACAGAACCGGTTCAAAGGCCACCTCTGCTGACATCCTTTTGGCAAATGTCAGCTTTCTGTGACTTGGGTACCTTACTCACCAAAGGAGGCAAGCAGGAAAATCTAGAAATGGACCTGAAATGTTTGTTAAAAAGCCTAAGGCAACATGAGAGAGTTTTTAAGAGAACGTCTCAGTCCATTCCAGGTCCCACGAGACAGGAATGGAGCCTGAATGGGTACCAGGCACTTTCTTTTGTATTTACCAGAAGCTCACCATCATCCTCTCCCCGCTCCCCCATGCCAGGGCCAGATTAGAATTCCCCACCTTGCAGGAAAAGAAATTAGGCTTAGAGCTGGTTAAGCAACTTGCTCAAGGCCCAAGTAGGGCCAAGGAAGGGGAAGGTCAAACGTGGGATCTGCTGCCAGGTCTATGTGGTCCCACTAGTGCAAGGCCAAGTGCACCCACCCTGCCCACACTTACATTCCATGGTGTCTTCATTGGCCTGCTCAGTATCCTCGATGTCAAAGACCTCGGTCATTTCCTTAACGATCTCCGCACTGAGATGGGCGGGCAGAGTGTGAGTAGGTGGTGGTGGTATATAGAAGCTGATCTTCCCGCTGCATTGGGAGATAGGGGAGATTAGTGGTGCTGTCACTGACAGAACCAATGACCAATCCCAGAGAAACAGCAAGAGAACAAAAAGACCCAGACAGTGGCTTCTGAACAAGGGGGAGTTGAGTTCCTGGATAATCACTGGGCATAAAGTCTCCAGCAGAACATGACCCGGCACCTTGGCCATCCTCTGCCCTGAGACCCAGGAAGCCAGGCTGCCCCAACAGCTGCAATGGGCACAGATGAACCCCTTTGTGGAGCCAGGTTCCCAGCAGGCCCCGCCCTTACCCCTAACCCCCTCCTCACCTGACCCAGTCAGCTAGGACAGCTTTGGCTGCCTGTTCCTGACTGTATACGCCTCCCTTCTTCTTCTTCCCCAAACGGTGGGCCACTGCCGTGAGAAAGTGCTCAGTGGTCTGGAACCCAGAGATGCCGTAGTAGTTGGAAATCTGGTGAAGGCAGGAAGGAGAGAAGTCATGAGGAAGAATGAAGAGCCCTTGGAGCAGGGCAGGGCATCAGCCAGGACTCTGCTGCGGACCTCCTCCAGGTTGCAGCGCTGCAGGATGGTCTCCACCGGGGTCACAGGGTCTGCCAGCTTCTGCACGTGGACGCAGTTACGCAGGATGGTGCCCACCTCAGAGTTGGGCCCTGGGACAATGCCTGGAGCATCCAGCAGCCGGATGAACTTGTCCAGGTGGACCTCCTGCATGAATCTAGGATGGGGAAGAAGAAAGCCTAGAGGCCCCAATCACGAAGGTGGGCCTGGGATGTGGGGGTATAAAGGAGTGATGGGAGAGTGATTAGGGATGAAGGTGGAGAGACTCAGAGCTGGAGAGGGGATGACTGGGGCTCTACAGACTTGGGGCTGATTCTATTCTAGCCTCTGCCACTGGGGACTGAGCTGCAGGACCTTGGGCAAGCTTGACTCTCCAAGCCTCAGCTGCTTCATCCAGGCAACAGAGCTCCCATTAGTATCCCAATCTTGTATGGCTATTCAGAAGTTTCAAGCCACTAACAGGAAGCACCCATCTGGGCACCTGGCTTACATCTAGGGTGTGTCAGGAAAATGAGGGCTATTGAGACTCCCATGCCTGGGGAAAGCATCAGGGGATGGTCCACAATAAGGAAAGGGACAGGGGCTAAAGGCATGGGAGTAGGGGGGAAATGGGAGGGCCAAGGAATTGTGGAGTTGGGGAGCAAGCAGGTGCTTACTTGGTAATCCCAGGAACGGCTCCCACGCTGCATGCGCGGCTGCGCTTCAGGCTATTGATCAGGCTGCTCTTCCCAACATTGGGAAGACCTGCAAAGTAGCAGCAGATGGCTCAGGGCGGGAGAGGCCCTCAGGAACACTCAGGCCAGCATGTATGAGGGAGGCCCAGCCAGGGGCAGTGACCAGGCCATGAGGAAGGCAAAAAATTGAGCCTGGCCTCCTCCCTTCCCACCCCAGGCCCTGACCCAGCCCCTACAGGGCCTTTCTACCTCTCCCCTCCATCTGTAAGCATGCTAGATAGGTACAGCCGTCTCTCTAGATGTGACACCAACCTCCCACCCACAACCAGCCAGGCAGGAGTCCTCAATGCAAGGCCTCGGTGGCACAATCCAACAGAAGGTGGACATCGAGAAATGTCTAAGAAACAGAGAACCACCTGTCCGGGTGTATCAGTCCATGGATGGGGATGGAGGTCATCTCCAGATGCAAGTCTCTCTGTGCAGCTGTCTACCTGAGGTATGTCTTTTTCTGTTTGGGCATCTGTCAGCCATTCTCAGCCTGTAGATGTCTTTCTGTTTCCCCTCACTGGGCCTCATTCTCACCGTTCTCTTTCTGTACGTGCTCAATTTACATAAGTGTACTATTCTCTCAAGCATATGCTTGTTTCAACTCGAGAAAGCTGATTGCCAAAAGAAAAAAAAAAGTATATGTCTAAGTATACCTCTTGTGCATGAAGTCCCTGCATACCTCTCTCCCCCCTCCCTCTCTCTAGCTCACTCTCATTCTAAATATCACCATGCATGGAAGTCTCTGCACACCCCCCGCCCCGTCTCTCTCTCTCTCTCTCTCTCTCTCTCTCTCTCTCTCTGTCATTTCCATTCTCAGTATCACCACTTTTTCCTTTTCTTGTCTCTCTCCCACTCGGTTTCTTTCTCTATCTTATCTTTGTTATCTGGGCCGGTCACTTTGTGGATGGCCCTCTGTATGTGGCTCACGGTGTCTCTTCTACTGTCTGCCTATCTGTGCCTCCTTAACCTCCTCTACAGACGAGGTTATGTCTATTTCTCTCTGCACAGGTACACATATCTGCCTCATCGTGACATGTCTGTGTATTTGTGTTCCTCTGTGACTCTGGGTATGTGATTATGTTTGAAGGTCAAAGTGTATATAGGCACATGTGTCTTCTTTTTTTGAGACGGAGTCTCACTCTGTCGCCCAGGCTGGAGTAGAGTGACACGATATTGGCTCACTGTAACCTCCGCCGCCCAGATTCAAGCGATTCCCCTGCCTTGGCCTCCCAAGTAGTTGGAATTACAGACGCCCGCCACCCCACCGGGCTAATTTTTGTATTTTTAGTAGCTGTGGGGTTTCGCAATGTAGGCCAGGCTGGTCTTGAACTTCTGACCTCAAGTGGTTGGCCTGCCTCAGCCTCCCAAAGTGCTGGGGCTACAGGCAGAAATGAGCCGCCACATCCGGCCCTCCTTGTGTTTCTATGTGCGTTGCGGGAGCAGCGTTAGGGTGGGTATGTGTGGGAAGGGCTTGGTTTGCATGCATTTTGACTCTGGATCTGTCTCTCTAGGTGCGCCTCCTCTGAACCTCTGGGTCTGCAGCGTGGGTCTGTGTGTTTGTGGATCTGTATGTATACTTAGAGCTACGTGTATGTATTCCTCTGTATCTACATTCTTGTCCAGTCTACTTCCATGTGTATCTCTCTCTGAATCTGTCTCTATCCCTGTAGCGTTTGCCTCTCTCATTCTTTCTTTGGGAACACACGTGTGCCTCTCCACATGCATGGGGTACCTCTACCATTCCTATGTCTCCCTCTGCAGATCTCTGTATGCATGCCTGTCTCTATGTCCCTTTTGGTATTTCTGATTCTATCTCCCTCTTTGCATGCCTCCGTCATGTAAATTTGTCCCCTCTTTCCATTCCCCACCAACCCTGCCATCTGGCTTCCCAGTTCATTCTCCAGGTCTTCTTCTGTGTCTATACAGGTATGTGTACCTATAACTTCTCCGTGTCTAGCTCTCTCTCCAATGTCTTTCTCTCGTGGCTTCATGCTTCACTTTCTCTCTCTGATGATCTATATCTCTGCCTCTCTCACTTTGCCTACTTCATTCTCATCCTCCCTCCCTCAGGAACCTGTGTTCCAGAAAGGCCCACGTTTGATCCTCAGCTCTACCTTGTCTCACACGGGGCTGGGCTCCACAAGTCCTTTTGCCCTTTCTCTGGACCTCACAAAGTATTCTCATCTCTAAAAGATAGATGGTCAGCCCTCCCTTCCATAGCCCTGTTAAGATAAGATGGTGCCAACTCCAAGCCTGGTACCCTGCATTTGCTCCATGGTTCTAATACTCAATACACAGTGATGCCCACCAATCCAATTTACCCTTCCTGAACCACTCCTCTCTTCCCCCAAAAGACAACAAAACTCCCAGGATCCTTTCCCCAATGAAGTGACCCCCTAAGAAAGACGCCTGGGCCCCATGACCACCCAGCAGGTCTTACCCACAACGCCCACACGAATGTGGGTGCGCACTGCACCAAGGCGGCAATAGTTCCCCAGAACCCTCATGAGGTTTTCAGCTCCAAAGCAGGCTTTGCTTTTCAGCATTGACTCAGAGGCCTGATCTACTGGTACACTGCAACGATTCTGGAAAACAGATGAATATTACAGAAGAGACATCAGGTGGCAGATGAGGTCTGACCCCAGATTTCCAACTTTCAGGGCCTCCCTATGATCACTGAGCTCCTCAGCCTGAAACAGAAGGCTTCGCACACACATCCTGAACACGCGTCACTTCCGCATTCCCCTCCACTTTGTGTCTCCAGTCTTCTCTGCCCCTGCCTCTGGCTGGACACATATCACTTGCCTCCCTCGGCAATGGCAGGATGGCATCCTGGCTCTAGATAGGCCAGGTCTACTTCTCACAGGCCTATGCCCAGCAAAGCCGGCTTCTTTTCTCCAGGCCTCAGTGCCCTGTGCATACAACAGGGATGCCCACCCTCCCTGCCTGCACAGGGATGAGAGGGTGTCTGGCCCACAGCCTACTCTCCCTCAATTCCTCACACAGGACAAGGCCATCCCAACCTTTACTCCTGATGCCACCTCCTCTGCCCAGAATTCCCTCCTTCATCTTCCATTACTTTGTTTCTTTAAGACAGAGTCTCACTCTGTCACCCAAGCAGGAGTCCAGTGGCATGATCTCGGCTCACTGCAACCTCCGCCTCCCAGGTTCAAGTGACTCTCATGCCGCAACCTCCCAAGTAGCTGGGACTACGGCCATGCACCACCGTACCTGGCTAATTTCTGTATTTTTAGTAGAGACAGGGTTTCACCATTTTGGCCAGACTGGTCTCAAACCCCTAGCATCAAGCAATCTGCCAACCTTAGCCTCGCAAAGTGCTGGGATTACAGGCATGAGCCACTATGCCCGGCCACAGCATTGTTTCTAGTGTCACAAAATTGGAAGTAGCCTAAATATTCATCAATAAGAATACAGGTTAAAAAGCTATATCCTTAAAGTGGAATACAAACGAAACACAGCTATCAGAAAAGGCAGCTTCTGGCTGGGTGCGATGGCTCACGCCTGTAATCCCAGCACTTTGGGAGGCCGAGGCGGGTGGATCACGACATCAAGAGATCGAGACCATTCTCACCATGATGAAACCCCGTCTCTACTAAAAATACAAAAATTAGCCGGGTATGGTGGCACATGCCTGTAGTCCCAGCAACTCGGGAGGCTGAGGCGGAAGAATCGCTTGAACACAGAAGGCAGAGGTTGCAGTGAGCCGAAGGTTGCCGTAAGCCGAGATTGCGCCACTGCACTCCAGCCTGGCGACAGAGCAAGACTCCGTCTCAAAAAAATAAAATAAAATAAAATAAAAATAAAAGATTAGCCTGGCGTGGTGGCATGCACCTATACTCCAAGGTATTCAGGAGGCTAAGGCAGGAGGATGGCTGGAACCCAGGAGTGTGAGGTTGCAATGAGCTATCATCACCACTGCACTGAAGCCTGGGTGACCAATTGAGACCCTATATCTAAAACAAATAAAATCTGGAAGAATACACACCAAACTGTCAATGGTTAGTTACCACTGGGCATGAATAAAGGACACTAGAATTAGGAAGACTGGTGAAAGGGTATTTAAGCTTTATCTGTAGTAGATTTTATTTTTTCTACTTTATTTTTTAAGAAGTTTAACATCCAGTGCAAAATTGAAAAAAAATATCCCTTAGTATCCAATTTCTCTCCCCAGAAGCAATCAGTTTCTGTATTAATATTTTACAATGAATACATATTTCTCTACTAATGATGTAATTATGAAGAATTGTGATTTGTTTCAAAGAGAAAAATGAATGAAGGTCTATGTATTTTTTAAAGTTAACAAGTAGTTGGTTGGGCACAGTGGCTCACACCTGTAAGCACTTTGGGAGGCCAAGGCTGGTGAATCATTGGGGGTCAGGAGTTCGAGACAGCCTGGCCAACATGATGAAGCCGCATCTCTACTAAAAAACAAATACAAAACTTAGCCACAATCCCAGCTACTCTGGAGGCTGAGGCACAAGAATCGCTTGAACGCAGGAGGCAGCTATTGCAGTGAGCTGAGATGGTGCCACTGTACTCCAGCCTGGGTGACAGAGTAAGACTGTCTCAAAAAATAAAAAATAAAGTTAGGCTGGGAGCAGTGGCTCACACCTGTAATCCCAGCACTTTGGGAGGCCAAAGCGGGTGGATCACCTGAGGTCAGGAGTTCAAGACCAACCTGGCCAACATGGCGAAACCCCATCCCGTCTCCATACTAAAAATACAAAAATTAGCTGGGCGTGGTGGTGCCCGTGCCTACAGTCCCAGCTACACAGGAGGCTGAGGCAGGAGAATTGCTTGAACCTGGCGGGCAGTGGTTGCAGTGAGCCAAGAACATGCCATTGCACTCCAGCCTGGGCAACAGAGTGAGACTCCTGTCTCAAAAAAATAAATAAATAAAGTTAGCAGGTAGTTAACTGTATTTTACAAATTCCCTATAGACGTTATGTACTATCCTTACAATTGAAAAAAAATGCTTACTGAAGAGTGATAATAAAGGAAGAAGTGAAGTTAAGCTAATATTAAGAAGTCACTGGCCAGGTGTGGTGGCTCACACCTGTAATCCCAGCACTTTGAGAGGCCGAGGCGGGCAGATAACCTGAGGTCAGGAGTTCGAGACCAGCCTGGTCAATATGGCAAAACCCCGTCTCTACTAAAAATACAAAAATTAGCCGGGTGTGGTGGCATGTGCCTGTAATCCCAGCTACTCCAGAGGCTGAGGCAGGAGAAATCATTTGAACCCCGGAGGTGGAGATTGCAGTGAGCCGGGATTACGCCACTTCATTCCAGCCTAGGAAACGAGCAAAACTCCATCTCAAAAAAAGAGAAAAAAAGTCACTCGGTGGAGCAAAAGTCTCAAGGTTGAAGGCCCAGTTCAATTACTAAAGGGCTGGAGGTCCCAGACCAAGTCACGAACCCCCAACTCTGGCCCCAAGCTCCCCTGAAAGAGGCTAATTGACGCTAGTCCAAGGCTTACCAGGTTTTTGACCTGATGCTGGGTACTGGCCTTGAAAGCCACGGTTGGCAACTCATTCCGAAGGTAATCCAGCCATTTCTCCACAACCTCCTTGGGGACCAGGTCTGGGGCAAATATAGGAACAGATGGGGCTGGTAAGCAGAACAACACGTCCATGGTTCCCTCCAAAGACACCTCCACCCACACCCAAAGCCAGGCCTACCTACCATCAACAGGTCTCTACACTGACCCTGTCAGTCCTACACAGTCCCCAGGATGGAGTTAGAAAGCACAGTCTGGTCTATGAGATGTCCTAGCCCACCCTGAGGGGGCCTGTGTTCCCTCAGGGCAAATGGACAAACTAGCTGTCTGGTCCCAAAAGTACTCTTTCCAAAACAGCGCCTGGAGCATCAGAGGCCTCCCAAATGCTGTGTTTCCCATCCCCTCTCTGGATCATTCTAGGTTAGGCCGAATGTCAAAGATCACCATAACAAGAATGGCTATCTGCCGGGTGCAGTGGCTCACGCCTGTAATCCCAGCACTTTGGGAGGCTGGGAGGCTGAGGTGGGCGGATCACCTGAGGTCAGGAGTTCGAGACCAGCCTGACCAATATGGTGAAACCCCATCTTTTAAAAAAAAAAAAAGAATGGCTATCATGTGTGAAGTAATGACCATGTACCAACCATTGAATCATTAATTCTCACAACAAATCTGTGAAGTTGGGATAGTCGTGGCCGATTTTACAGCTAGAGAAATAGCTCTTGGAGGTGGCATGATTTATCCAGTATCTCAGAGAAAAGAATCAGGACAGGTGGGGAGCCGAGCCCCAGACCTGAGTGACTCCTAAGCCCATGTGCTCCTCTGCCCCAGTCTTTGGGTTCCAGCTTGAGCGAGAGGAACTTTCCAGGGTTGTCCAGTCACAGAGAAGGCTCAAAATGGCAAGAACAGGGGACTGAAAGGCAGACAGGCTTGGACTCCACATCTAACTTATACCATACTCTGTGATACAGGCTTTGAAAACTGGAACTAAAATTTCTACTTTGCATGACTATTATGAGTACTATTGAATTGCTGGGTTCAGGGTCCGGTCCAAACTAAACTTTCAAGATGGCCTGGCCCCTTCCCTGTCACACCCACTCCTGTCTAACACCCACCAATCTTGTTCAAGACCAGGACCAGCTTCTTGTTGCCTTGGGCTCGCAAGACAGCCTCCTCCATTTGGAAGCAGCGGCAGCCTAATGGGTCTCTGGCATCTAGGACCTCCAGAATCACATCAGAGTATTCCACCACCTACAGGGCAGAGGACCAGGGCATGAGGGCAGGGAAAGAATAGGGTAGCGGTGACGCAGGCCCATGAAACAGAAAGTCTCCATCTCTGTCAGGAAAAACCAGAAATGGAGAGGAAATGGGGCTGGACTAGAGCCCTCCCCGAAACTGTGAAGAAATGGAGCCCTGTACCTTACGGAACTCCTTGTAATAAGCCTTCCTCGTGGCCTCATCATCCAGCTGAGGAAACATATTTAATTCCTGCAAAACTTCCTCCTAAAGGAGAAAAAAGAGAACAGTCCAGAGGCAGAGGGGGAGAGAGAGACAGATAAGAGAAGCAGGGCTTTGGAAACTACAGGAGGTTAAAAAAAATCCATGTGAGTCTCAGCCCACCAAAAAGTAGCTTTGACCAACCAATAAAACTGGGAACTGGAGGAAAAATGAACAGACCCCCATGGCTCTTGTGTGCGCCTATGTGTATGTGTGTGCTCGAGCACCAGCTGGAGACCTGAGTGTGCACAGGGGTGTGAAAGGGAGGGAGGGAAGAGGGAGGTGTGAAAAAAAACAATCTATGAGGGACATAGGATGGGGGAGGCAAGACACACACGCATGTCAGGAAGGGGAGTAGCAGCTGGCAAGCGCGTGCTCTGTGTGTGAGGCAAGAACATCTGCCAAAAAGCAGCAAGAAGCCCTAGAGGGAAGACGACATCCCCTCACATATGCTCCTCCCTGTCTCTCAATCCAGTCCTCATATTCTCACTCCCTCTCCCCCGACCCCATCCTCTGGACACACCTACCTCTCCCAGCCCCCAGCCCCCAGCCCTACCACCAGCCCCAGTCTTTAAGCTCAGCCTTGGGAGACAGGAGCTCTCCAGGGGTGTCCAGTCACAGGTAAGGCGCAATACGGCCCTTTATCTCTATCCCTCCCTCCCTCCCTTTATCCATCCCCAAGGTTTTCCATCCTCTCTGCACTGATTCCCTTCTTCCCCTCCAACAACTTCACACCTTTACTTCTTCCCTTTCACAGAAAAAAGGCAAAAGATGCTTTTGAGCAAGCCTACCCAGGAGCCACAGCTGCACTCTTACCTTATGCTCAAACTCCTCCTGGCGTCTCAGGACATCCTGACAGTAGCTCTCCATGGTCCTGCGTTTTTGTCTTTCTTGCTCCCGGGCAGCTTGCTGCAATTCCCTCATCTCCTTAACCTAACAAGGGAACACACACTGGGACTGAAGCTGACTGGGTCTGCAGCCTAAGGGAGGGATGGGTGACAGAGGAAATGGCACGACACGGCAGAGGTGGGAGGAGCAGGGTCCAGGGAGAGGGAAGATATGATAGCAGGAGATGACAGTTTGAGATGAAGCAAAAGACATGAAGGGAAGAAAAGAGTGGCAGAGAAAAATTAAAAGAGGGTATATAAAGCAGAGAGAGAAGGTATCCTAGGCAGGCAGAACCACTTAATACCAGAGAGATGGAAATAGGCCAAGGTCCTGGGATGCTCCAACTTTTTTTTTTTTTTTTTTCAGATTGAGTTTTTGCTCTTGTTGCCCAGGCTGGAGTGCAGTGGTGCAATCTCTGTTCACCACAACCTCCGCCTCCCAGGTTCAAGTCATTCTCCTGCCACAGCCTCCCAAGCAGCTGGGATTACAGGCCTGAGCCACCACACCCAGCTAATTTTCTATTTTTAGTAGAGATGAGGTTTCTCCATGTTGGTCAGGCTGGTCTTGAACTCCCAACCTCAAGTGATCCACCTGACTCAGCATCCCAAAGTGCTGGGATTACAGGCGTCAGCCACCATGCCCGGGTGATGCTCCATCGTTTAAAGATAAGGAAGAAAGCCGGGCACAGTAGCTCAAACCTGAAATCTCAGCACTTTGAGAGGCCAAGGTGGGCAGATCACCTGAGGTCAGGAGTTCGAGACCAGCCTGACCAACATGATGAAACCCCCATCTCTACTAAAAATACAAAAATTAGCTGGGCGTGGTGGCGGATGCCTATAATCCCAGCTACTCGGGAAGCTGAGGCAGGCGAATCGCTTGAATCCAGAAGGCAGAGGTTGCAGTGAGCTGAGATAGCACCATTGCACTCCAGCCTGGGCAACAGAGCAAGACTCCATCTCAAAAAATATATACATACAAAATTAGCCAGGCATGGCGGTGAGCGCCTATAATCCCAGCTACTCAGGAGGCTGAGGCGGTAGAATTGCTCAAACCCAGGAGGTGGAGGTTGCGGTGAGCTGAGATCACACCATTGCACTCCAGCCGGGGCAACAAGAGTGAAACTCCATCTCAAAAAAAAAAAATTAAAAGGGCCGGGTGCGGTGGCTCACGCCTATAATCCCAGCACTTTGGGAGGATGAGGCGGGTGGATCACAAGGTCAAGAGATCGAGACCATCCTGGTCAACACTGTGAAACCCCATCTCTACTAAAAATATAAAAATTAGCTGGGCGTGGTGGCACATGCCTGTAATCCCAGCTACTCGGGAGGCTGAGGCAGGAGAATTGCTTGAACCCAGGAGGCGGAGGTTGCGGTGAGCCGAGATTGTGCCATTGCACTCCAGCCTGGGTAACAAGAGCGAAACTCCGTCTCAAAAAATAAATAAATAAAAAGGATAAGGAAGAGGAAAAAGTAGCAAAAGAGACTGCCAATGGCTAGTCAAAGAGGAAGACATCCAGGAGATGTCTTCCAGGAGATGACAAGAAAGTCCAGGTGCTTCAGGGAAAGCGTGGCCTCAAATGCTGAGCATTCAGTAAGATGAGGAAAGACCACCACCCATGAATGTGATGTCAGGGAAGGCGCTGATGAGGCCAGCAGGGGTAGTGTCAGCGGAGCAGTGGAAGCATAAGCCAGACAGCAATGGACTGGGTGGTGAGCAAACGGAGACATAAATCCAGGATCACGGTAACCTCCCTCCCTCCTAGCTTCGACCAGTAGCCTCAACAACCCTAACGACTCTTGCCTTTGCCCACCCATTCAACACTTCTGCGGACCTGGCATTCAAGGCAGGACCTCTCTCTCCCCACCAAGACTAAAAGCTTACCCTCTTCTTCTTCAATTCAGCCTCTCGATTGGCATGACCATTGCAGTGAACCAAATGAGGTGCAGAGGGTACTTTGGAGGCTGCTTTCTTCCCATTTTGCTTTGCAGGCTGACCACCACATAAGAGAAAAAAAACCCAGAGGTAATTAACCCATGGAAATCACCTCAAAAAGGCCGCAAGAAGCCCTAGAAGGAACTCAACATCCCCTCATAAATGCTCTTTCCATCTCTCAATCCTCTCATCATCTCACTCGCAAGGTGAGCAGCAGGAGTTAAAGCTTCTCAGAGAAGTATAGTTGTGGGGACAAAGAAAGGAGACAGGCAGGCAAAAAGGGCTCCATACCCAAAGATCTGCCCATCTGGCTGCTTAGAGCGCCTGTTTACCACAGCCAGGCAGGGACTGACGGGAGACCTCTCGGAGGGGAAGAGCAGCTGGGAAGGTTTCCCAAGGCCCAGGGAAAACCTTTCTAGATAAGTAGCTCTCAAAGTGCGGTCCTCAGACCAGCAGTAGCAGCAGCACCTGGGAACTTGCTAGAAATACAAATCACCAGATGCCATGCCAGACCTACTGAATCAGAAACTCTGAGGTGGGGCCCAGCAATCGATGTTTCCACTCATCCTCCAGGTGATGCTAGAGGGCTGGTTAAAGTTTGAGTTTCCCCCACCCTAAACTGTGAGAACCCAAGCCTTCTCTGGCTTATCCCTTCTTCTCATTGCTTTTTTCCAAGCCTTAGTTACCCACACCTTTCCCAGCAGGACCAGGAGACCCTGGAGCTGGGGTCAGAGATGATATTCTTGCCTCCCTCTTCTCCATTAGAAACAGGGACTTGAGAATCAGTCTCAAATCCCAGTTGCGTTACTTTCTCACTAACAATTTCCTCAACTAAAACGGGGATAATAATAATCCCTACCAAGGTAAATCAAGGACAAAGCAGCATATGGCTTGGGAAAAATGCTGCTGATTCTATGCTGCGGCCAGCCAGAGGGAAGGAAAGTCAGATCCGCTGACACAAATGCGGCACTCTCTCCAGAGTCACCCAGTACCTACTGGGTTTAGTGGGCCTCTCCCAGGACAAGCAACCTGTTCCTGATCTCATCCTCAACAAATGGTGGCCAGGCGTGGTGGCTCACACCTGTAATCCAAGCACTTTGGAGGCCAAGGCGGGCGGATCACCTGAGGTCGGGAGTTCAAGACCAGCCTGACCAACATGGTGAAACCCTGTCTTTATAAAAAAAAAAAAAAATTATTAAAACAACAACAAAAAAAAACCCAAAAGGCATACCTTACCTGAGGGTAGAGCCAACTTACCTTCTTGTGGCCCTTGGAGCCTTCACCTGGCTTTTTATTTTCTACAAAAGAAAAAAAGAAAGAAAGAGCCATCATCCACCTACACAATATTTGTTGACACCTTAATCAAGGCCAGGCCACACTGGGAACCTAGCGAGGAAGCCTCAGATACCATGTCTATCTAGATCCAGCACAAGACAGAGACGCAGATGGCAGCAATAATATCAGAGGAAGTACTGGATATAATGTGTGCAACATTATTTCACTGCAAACTCAAACAATTCTGAGACGAATTCTATAAAGAGAGTAACCTGAATGTGTGCTTGTGACGCCTCCCTCCCCCAGGACTTCCTGCTGAGGGCAACTCAAGAATTTCAATGCCAGCTGAGGTGAGGGAGCTGGCAGCATGAGAAGGTAATCTGAGGAGTCCCAGCCCACTAAGCCTGGGCAGATGCCATCAGTATGTGGGGAAAGAACTATCCCTTCCTGCTGACCCTGCTCAGACCATTGCCTCCAAAGGGACTTGACCTACTCAGCCAAAATGCTACTGCCTCCCTCAGATACCAAAAGGAGAGGTCTGCCACTTCTCCAATCATGACTTAGCAAAGTCCAGGAACTTATGAGGCCCCTCCCCTTCTTCAATAAGAAGTCCCATCTCTCATCCCTTTCACAGTTGACCTATTGAAAAGAATGGCTCCTTTTAATTCTTACCACCTTCACAGAGCTCAAGGAATTCCTAGAGAGAGAGGTTCTAGAAGATCAGGATAAATACAAACAAATATATTATATGAGTAGCTCAAGATTACCACAAGAGAACAGGCTCCACAGTCACATCAGCTGGCTCCCAATGCAGAGTTAATGTAGGAAACAGAACTTAAATTCTACCGCAAATTCTTTTTTTTCCAAGACCGAGTCTTGCTCTATTGCCCAGGCTGGAGTGTAGTGGTGTGATCTGGGCTCACTGCAACCTCTGCCTCCCGGGTTCAAGCGACTCTCCTGAGTAGCTGGGATTACAGGTGCCTGTCACCACACCCAGCTAATTTTTCTATTTTTAGTAGAGACAGGGTTTCACCATGTTGGCCAGGCTGGTCTCGGGCTACTACAAATTCTGTTTTTTTTTTTTTTTTTTGAGACAGAGTTTCACTCTTGTTGCCCAGGCTAGAGTGCAATGGCAGAATCTTAGCTCACTGCAGACTCCACCTCCTGGGTTCAAGCAATTCTCCTGACTCAGCCTCCCAAGTAGCTGGGGTTACAGGCATGCACCACCACGCCCAGCTTATTTTTTGTATTTTTAGTAGATGGGGGTTTCTCCATGTTGGTCAGGCTGGTCTCAAACTCCAGACCTCAGGTGATCCGCCCACCTCAGCCCCCAAAGTGCTGGAATTACAGGCGTGAGCCACCACGCCTGGCCTGCAAATTCTTAAGGAGAATCAAGAAGATACTTTAAAGGAACTGTGTAAGAAAAAAAGATTTCCCTAAACTTGATATTGAATAAAAATTCAAAAGCCAGGTGCAGTGCCGCATGCCTGTAGTCCCAGCTACATGGAAGGTTAAGGTAGGAGGGAGGATCCCTTGAGCCCAGGAGTTCTAATCCAGCCTGGGCAACAAAGCCAGATCCCATCTCTTAAAGAAATACATAAACACAGACTGCTCTAACAGTCAAAACTTAAGCTGGGCACAGTGGCACCTGCCTGTAGCTAGCTAGAAGACTGAGGCAAGAGGATCACTTGACCCTAGGAGTTTGAGAACAGCCTAGGCAACATAGTGAAACTTTGTCTCTTAAAAAAATTCAATAGAAGTACTGAAAAACAAAAAAAGGCATCACTAACAACCAAATTAATGAGCTAGAAGATCAAAGGAGGGAGCTTACTTAGAGCAAAAATTCAAAGAAATGGAAATGATAAGCAAAAATACGAAATAAAAACTGGAGAATACAGCCAAGACAGCTAAAATCTAAACAACAGGAGTTTCTAAAAGAGAATGGTACAAACGGAGAAGCAATAATTTTCTGAAATAACAGATGAAAGTTCCTTAGGTTGAACATAAGCTTGAGGTTTCAGATTGGAAAGACACAGGGAGCAGCAAGATTAACAACCAAGGCCAGGAGCTATGGCTCACCCTGTCATCCCAGCATTTTGGGAGGCTCAGGTGGGAGGACTGCTTGACGCCAGGAGTTTGAGACTAATCCAGGCAACATAGTGAGACCTCGTCTCTCCAAAAAAATTTTTTTAATTAACCAGGTGTGGTGGTACACACCTGTAGTCCTAGCTTCTCAGGAAGCTGAGGCAGGAGGACTGGTTGATCCCAGGAGTTCAAAGTTATAGTGAGCTATGATGGCGCCACTGTACTCCAGCCTGGACAACAGAGACCCTGTCTCAAAAAACAAAACAAAACAAAAGATTAACAACCAAAAGAACACCCTAGACATATCCTGATGAAATTTCCAAACTCCAAAGATAAAAAGATAAAATTCTAACCAATAGATCACTCTTACTATATGAAGGTAAGAAAAATACATTTTCGGCCGGGCACAGTGGCTCAAGCCTGTAATCCCAGCACTTTGGGAGGCCAACGCAGGAGGATCACGAGGTCAAGAGATCGAGACCATCCTGGCCAACATGGTGAAACCCCGTCTCTACTAAAAATACAAAAAAAATTAGCTGGGTGTGGTGGCGTGAGCCTGTAGTCCTAGCTACTTGGGAGACTGAGGCAGGAGAATTGCTTGAACCCAGGAGTCGGAGGTTGCAGTGAGCTAAGATCACGCCACTGTACTCCAGCCTGGTGCCTGGCAACAGAGTGAGACTCTGTCTCAAAAAAAAATAAATAAATAAATTTAAAAAATAAATAAAAAAGAAAGAAAAAGAAAAAGACATTTTCAGGTAAGCAAAGATTGCCACCTGTATTTCCTTTTTTTTTTTGAGACAGAGTCTCGCTCTGTTACCCAGGCTGGAATGCAGTGGTACAATCTCAGCTCACTACAACCGCCGCCTCCTGAGTTCAAGGAAATCTCCTGCCTCAGCCTCCGGAGTAGGTGGGATTACAAATGCACAACACCATGCCCAGCTAATTTTTGTATTTTTAGTAGAGACGGGGTTTCACTATGTTGGCCAGACTGGTCTCAAACTCCTGACCTCAAGTCACTGGCTTGCCTCAGCCTCCCAAAGTGTTGGGATTACAGGCATGAGCCACCACACCCGGCCCTGTGTTTCCTTTTGGATAAAACTACTGGCAAAATAAAAATTAAATCAGAACAAAGATCCCAAGCTAAAGAAAACAAATAGTGGTGGGCAGGAAATCTATTAAAACTTGTCACTGAGGCCAGGAGCGATGGCTCACAGCTGTAATCCCAGCACTTTGGGAGGCTGAGGCGGGTGGATCACTTGAGGTCATAAGTTCGAGTCCAGCCTGGCCAAGATGGCGAAACCCCATCTCTATTAAAAATATAAAAATTCGCCAGCTGTGGTGGTGCATGACTGTAATCCCAGCTACTCAGGAGGCTGAGGCAGGAAAATCACTTGAGTAGAGGCTGCAGTGAGCCGAGATGGCGTCACTGCACTCCAGTCTGGTTGGCAGAGCAAGACTTGGTCTCAAAAAAAAAAAAAAAAAAAAATCTTTTACACAAAAGCACCTCTAGGCAACCCTGCCCTAGGAAGGGTGGCTCACCTGGAAGGCTGGCACTGCAGTACGAGTGGTGTTTCCTAGCATGCAAGGCAGCCTCAAGAGCTGCATATGGCAGCAAAAAAATAACAATAACTGAATCTAAAAATGAAAGATGTCATGTGGCCAAGAGCTGGAAGATATATTAAGAAAGGATTCTAAGGGCCAGTAGTGGCAGCTCATGCCTATAATCCCAGCACTTTGGGAGGCCGAGGCAGATGGATAGTTTAAGCTCAGTAGTTTAAGACCAGTCTGGGCAGCATGGTGAAACCCTGTGTCTATGAGAAAATGGGAAAATCAGCCGGGGACCAGGCGCAGTGGCTCACACCTGTAATCCCAACACTTTGGGAGGCTGAGGCAGATGGATCACTTGAGGTTGGCAGTTCAAGGCCAGCCTGGCCAACACGGTGAAACCCCATCTCTACTAAAAATATAAAAATCAGCCGGGCGTGTTGGCACGCACCTATAATCTCAGCTACTTGGGAGGCTGAGGCAGAAGAATTGCTTGAACCTGGGAGGTGGAGGTTGCGGTGAGCCAAGATCACACCACTGCACTCCAGCCTGGGAGACAGAGCAAGACTCCGTCTCAAAAGAAAAAAAAAAAAGCCAGGTGTGATGGCTCATGCCTGTTGTCCCAGCTACTCAGGAGGCTGAGGCAGGAAGGTCACTTGAACCCAGGAGGCGGAGGTTGCAGTGAGCCGTGATCACAGTGTTGCACTCCAGCCTGGGCGACAGAGTGAGACCCTATCTCAAATAAACAACAAAAAAAGGATTCATAAAATCCAAGAAACATATCATAAGGAAATAGCTCAGAACTGAAATACCAAATTATTTCAACATAATCCAGGAATCAAGTAATGGGGGTTGGAAAAGCAAAAGCATGAAAGCATGCTAAAGGTTTCGGGTAGGTTACAAAATGGTCATTATTTAACTTTGGTAAAGTGATAGAGAAATACAGAATTAATTATGTTTGATATAAATATGAATGCAATTACTAACATAACTTTACTGATGGAGGATTGTTTAAAAACTCCATCAGGTTAGCAAAACATAAATAAATAAGGGAATCAGAGGAAACAAAATAAATAACAAATATAAAATAAGATGGTAGAAATCTGACCAGACATAAACGTCTCATAACAAATGTGAATGAGTCAAATTTAAATAAACACAGTTTAAATAAACACAAAACAGACCCCGCGTCTCCCTTTCTTCTAAAGTACTCATGTTGCAACCAAAAAAAAAAAAAAAAAATGTGAGGTTTGGAATGAACCAGGTCTGGGCATTTTACTCAACAATTTCCATCTGCCTAACTTCCCTGGAAACTGAGTGCCTGCAATGGATACAAACACACAGTGAAAGAAAATACATCACTTAGAAAGAAAAAGCATGTACTTCAGAGGGGGGAAGAGAACGGAGGAGGGGAAAAGGAGAAGAGGGTGCAGTCAGTCATCCCTCCCAGCACTCCGGAGCCTCTGCTCATAGGTTTTTCAACAACTCTAGAGAGAAAATAGTTACCATTTTATAACCAGCAGACATTCTTACTCTAGCTCAACAACGACCTAGCTATATGACCTTGAAGAATTTTTTTTTTTTTTTTTTTTTT